TTTTGGTATATGGATAATGGTATCATCTATGGGTCCTCTACCAAAGTTGTTCAAATTTTGTCCCTAGTGTCAAAATTGGCCCCGCCCTGGTGGGTCATAGGTTTTTCCTGATATGTATATAGTAAAATCTAAAAAAATCTTCTTCTCTGATTTGGCAAAGGCTACAGATTAGATATTTGGCATGAAACATTGTGTAGTAGACCTCTATCAAGATTGTTCAAATAATGGCCGGGGGTCATTGATTCTCATTACATACATATAGTGAAAACTTGAAAAATCTTCTGGTCTGAAAGTAAATGGCCTAGAGCTTTGATATTTGGTCTATGGTATCACCTATAGGTCCAAAACCAAACTTGTTCTAATTTTGTTCCTAGAATTAAAATTGGCCCCGCCCTGGAGGGTCATTGATTTTCCCTATATGTATATAGTGAAAACTTAAAAAATCTTCTTTTAAAGAACCCAAAGAGCTAGAGCTAAGATATTTAGCATGAAAGATCTTCTAATGGTTGTCTACCAAGTTTGTTCAAATAAAAGCCCTGTAGTCAAAATTGGCCCCGTCCCAGGGGGTCATTGATTTTCCCTATATGCATATAATAAAAACTTAAAAAAAATTCTTTTAAAGAATGTAAAGAGCTAGAGCTAAGATATTTAGCATGAAATTTGTTCTAATGGATGTCTACCAAGTTCGTTCAAATAAGAGCCCAGGGGTCAAAATTGGCCCCGCCCCGGGGGTCATTCATTTTCCTTATATGCATATAACAAAAACTTAAAAGATCTTTTTTGATGAAAAAATCAAATAGCTAGAGTTTCGATACTAAGCATGAAACATCTTCTAGTGAGTGTCTTCCAAGTTTGTTCAAATAAAAGCCCTGGGGTCAAAATTGCCCCGTCCCGGGGGTCATTCATTTTCCTTATATGTGTATAGCAAAAACTTAAAAATCTTCTTCGAAAAAACCTGAATAGCTAGAGTTCTGATATTAAGCATGAAACATTTTCTAGTAAGTGTCTACAAAGTCTGTTCAAATTAAAGCCCTGGGATCAAAACTGGTCCTGCCCCAGGTGTGTCATTGTTTTTAACTATATGTGTAAAGAAAAAAACTTGAAAAAATCTTCTTTAAAAAAACCCAACAAGCTAGACCTTAGATGTTTAGCATGAAACATCTTCTAATGGGTGTCAACCAAGTTTGTTCAAATAAAAGCCCTGGGGTTTAAACTGGCCCCGCTCCGGGGGCCTATATACAGGTGAGCGACTTTGGGCCATCATGGCCCTCTTGTTTATATTTCTTATCATTACACATATGTTGTGTGACAAGCATGACTATTTCCAGAATTACCCCCCCCCCCACCTTGAACTTATTTATGGAATTTATGTAAACAAATGTTCGTAGTTACATAGTTTTGTCTTCCATACCAACTTATCTCAGCCTCTTGATATTTGGTATACAGTATTGACGTGGTCCCATACCGTCGGATTTGATTTCAGGTATGTCGCTCAGCAAGCCCCGTTTACCGTTAAATTTTCAACATTAATGGTCAATGGTAGGAAATTTTTGTGACAGATTTTTTAGCAACTACTTATCACAGGCTCTTGATATTTGACAAACAGCATTGACACATGGTCTTATACTGTGGGATTCGATTTCAAGTCTTTCACTCATCCACTTCCTGTTAACTGACTTATTTAAATTTTCCACATTAATGGTCAGTGGTAAATATTTTTCAAAACATTACAGCATCATGATATTTGGTATAGAAATGCAACCCGACCTTTTCTGTCTTTGACCCATTTTTTTTTTTTTTTTTATTTTGAAATCATTCATTTATTATTGTTGAAATCTACTTATAATTTACCTTTAAAATACCATGTTCCCAGTACTTTTTATTTACATGCTTAAGTTGTTCTTAACATACACAAAACAAACTTGTACATTCCTTTATTAGAAATTGTCTTTTTTTTATATAACCAGGCACAAGTGACAAGATAATATTTATTTATATGCTATTATCATTGTGGACACAAACTGTAAACAAAGGTATCATTTTTGATTCTAGTCAAAGTAAACACAAACAGTGATTGCACTAGAGTTATATAAGAAAGTTTGTGGGAGCTTTACATGCTCATAACATTTCTATCTTTGTCAGAGAAATATTTGATTTCTGAGAACTATTTTGACTTCAATTTCCGAAGAAACATGACACTACACCCCAAATTTAAATGCATAATAACTATTACATTTGTTTGACTTAACTGTTTCTTATGGTCAATAGTGTTACATGTATATAATTTTTTATGTTCATTTTACACTTGCTTGTTTTTCTATCATTTCAATCCATTGTCTTAATCATTATATAATTTGATAATACCTTAATTATGTAGCATTGTTTTTAGATTTACATTGTATTTGCAATTTTGTGAACATTTATCAGTAAGTAATATTCTTAATAAAAGAAATTTCACAATTGATATGAAGTACCAAGCCATTTATAGAGTGTGTTTCCGATTTATGAAAATGTTTTTAACAAATGACTTAAAATTGAGAAATCACCATACTTTCTAGCATAAGAATCTTAAAATAAAATTACTTAAATTGCAAGCAAGTTGCAATTTTATACATGAGATAAACTTATGGTGACCAAATTTGTTTTTCATGTTAGCAAGTTCTGTATATATGCTCTAATTAGAAAAGAACACTGATTATGTATGAAGTAACTGAAATATTGAAAGCTTTATAATAGAATGTTTGTCATGCAACATTAAATTGGGTAAGATTCAGACTATTAGATAAGGCGATGTACTTATTAATGCTGTTATAATTACATGTATTATTATTGTGAGTAAAAAGGTTCTGGGGATATTTCTATCATGTTTTAACGAGGGGCATAGATAATATACATTGTTTACTTTTTAGCTCACCTGTCAGAAAGTGACAGGGTGAGCTTTTGTGATTGCTTGTCGTCCGTCCGTCCGTCCATCCAAAAACTTTTACTTTAAATGACATCTCCTCATAAACCACTAAGCCAATTTCATCCAAACTTCACAGGAATGTTCCTTTGGTGGTCACCTTTGAAAATTGTTAAAAGAATTTAATTTCATGCAGAACTCTGGTTGCCATGGCAACCAAAAGAAAAAAACTTAAAATATCTTCTTCTAAAAAACCCAAAGAGCTAGAGCTTAGATATTTGGCATGAAACATCTTCTAGTGAGACAGTCTACCAAGTTTGTTCAAATAAAAGCCCTGGGGTCATTGATTTTCCTTATATGTGTATAGAAAAAACTTAAAAAATCTTCTTTGAAAAAAACCAAATAGCTAGAGTTTAGATATTAAGCATGGAACATCTTCTAGTAAGTGTCTACAAAGTTTGTTCAAATAAAAGCCCTGGGGTCAAAATTGGCCCCACCCCGGGGGTCATTGATTTTCCTTATATGTGTATAGCAAAAACTTAAAAATCTTCTTCAAAAAATCTGAATAGCTAGAGTTCAGATATTAAGCATGAAACATTTTCTAGTAAGTGTCTACAAAGATTGTTCAAATAAAAGCCCTTGGGTCCAAACTGGCCCAGCCCCAGGTGTGTCATTGTTTTTAACTATATGTGTAAAAAAAAACTTGACCAGCTAGACCTTAGATGTTTAGCATGAAACATCTTCTAATGGGTGTCTACCAAGTTTGTTCAAATAAAAGCCCTCGGGTTTTAACTGGCCCCGCTACGGGGCCTTTATACAGGTGAGCGACTTCAGGGCCATCATGGCCCTCTTGTTTATCAATATTGCAATTGGTTTTAAAGCTGTGTTTTCTTTAATATGGATATTATTGAATCATCCTTGACATCAGTATTCTCATTTTTTTAGCTCACATTTGCAAAAGCTCAGCTATTACAGACAGTCAAAGATTCCTGGTCTGTCCATCATCCATATTTCAATAATGTCATATTAAACTACTCAGTTTGAAAACGTCAAAAATTCTCATTTACTGTGTGCAAGAACGCTTAAAACTAATTTGGTCTTTTGCATGATAAGGTCACAGTAGGTAAAAAAAGATTAGATATTACAACCATCCTTTTCTCTTATTGTCCCATTTTGCTTGTTTTGCATTATTAAAGCCATTTCCTCATGCTCCCATTCCATTTGTAATGTTTCTTTGCAAAAAAGTAAATAACAGACTTTTAAAATTTATTTTTGACTGTTACAGGCTAATTAAAAATATAATACTCAAACCATTAAAAGTACTTTTTTGTATTTTTTTAATCTCAGAAATTTTTAAAATTAAAGTATTTTACAAAAATACCTATATTTTCTTCTTAAATTTCATGAAATTAACATGTTCCAAGTTTCACTTTTCATCAAAACTGAAATGCTTTAGCTAGGTAATCTGTCTGTCATTACATTTGAAGCTTATGTAGCAATATAGTATTCTAGGTATTGTTACTGTATATATATTCATTATAACATAATTCTCTCATCATGTTATGGATCTAGTCATGAATGTACTGCATGCATTCATATTTTGGATGTATATTTTATTGTACCACTTAGAAAATGTAATAAAGTTGTTCTCATTTAGTTTATTCTTATTTCTTTCCCTCTTTCAATGTAATATTCAACAACCAGTGTTAAATAATGTCTCTATCAGATTAATAATCTGTAATTCAGTGGCCCATATTCCTTTATTCGTTACAATTGCAACGTTTTTAGTAAGACACATATGTATTTATAATGCGCAGCGAATACATCAGTGCTTTCAGCGCTTTGATTATGTCAGAGGCCTATTGCAAAGCATAATAGCCGAGGAAATCATATTAGTGCAGTATATCTTGTTTATCGACAAAAGTCCCAACAATAAAAAGTAACCACAAGTCATGCATTCTATTTACAGGCGATGTGCAGTTTATTTTATCAACTGTCCCATTTGCCAAACATCTCAATAGTACATTTTACCGTGAATAAAGCAGCACCTGTTATATATATTATACATGTGAAACAAGTTTTAGCTAATTTTTTTCAGGATTTGTGACAGTTTTGTGTACTTTGGTTTGTATATGACGTCATCAGATCTCTATGGTGACCGATATCTCAACTTCTTTCTGAGTGCCGCAGTTGAATATTTTTCAGCCTTTATAGAGTACTTGTGTCTAGCCAGGTAAGTCATCAAAATCCTAAGTAGGTATATCATATATTATTATATATTTATTAGGAATTAATCTCGACACAGACGTAGATTTTTTATTTGAGGGGAAGCTATCCAATGATAAGCTTGCAAAATGTCAAGGACCAATTCGAGGTTTCTAGCCAGGTACACACACACATGTTCCCGTATTAGTAGACGAACTAAGAAAGCTGGAGAAAAGCACTAAGCCAACCAGATTACTGCTTTTTACGCATATATTTCAAAATTTAACAAAACACACTGTGCTGTTTTATATTACAATATTGTTTTGCAGCATATAGTTTGCAACAGACTGAATATATGCTGCTGACACTCTGTAAAGTGTAAAGTCGGACTGCGCGAGATACAAATATTTCATTTTGACTGTCGGTCTAATATTTTTCCTTACACCACTGAATACTTTAAAAGGATGTGCCCATCTGTCAATCTGGACAAGAAACTCGTTTTTTAGGGAAAGCTTCACAATTAATGCGACAGAAAAGCGAAATGTACAGACTATAATCAGACAGCACGGATATCCGGGGTAATCTTGGCCTCAACTGGTCTCATAGAGGGTAAAATAAGTTCCTGCTACTACCCACTGAAGGGTTGGTAAGAATATATAAAGATATATTAAGAGAACTTACGATAACAGATGATTAATTTTGAAATATGATTAACTTATGACGGATGTATTTGAACTAATTTTCCCGTGTTCACCTTGTTTCAGGATAGGACGTAAATGGACAGCTATCATTGGTCATATCATTGCCGCTGTAGGGTTGGCTGTCGCTACAGGATTAACATACACAGCAGGTAATAGATAGTTAAGCAAATGAATATATATAATATTTTGCATCGCCCCGTTTAGCTCAACAGGTAGAGCGTTGGTTTGTGAATAGGGTGACCCGGATGGCACAGATCACTTTCTTTGTGATCATGAAATCATTCATCGCACGTTATGTACAAAAGTAACGAGCAATTCATAGCGAATGTGAAGGCAACTAGTACTGGTAAACTGCTTGAACTGTGCTCTGGTGAATTCAATGTGGCTTGCTACCGTGATCCGAGAATAAGGACCAAAAAATGAGACAATTTTTGTTTCAAAGAAAATGTCATTACTTATTACTCTTAAGTCAAGACTTTATTTTAGAAACGTCGGTTTTCATAGTATAATCGTGAATTTTAAATAATCTGGTTTTTTATATAGATGGCTCTTGTAAACCTATCAATCTCCTTGTGAATAACACATTTTTCTTCAAAAGGAGGCATTGCGCTGGGTTATAAATTTGCTGTTATGATTTTGACAGTTTATATGACCATAAAAAATCATACTTATCTGTAATGTAACCACCGCCAATCCACTCGAATTATATGACCTTCCAACCTTTTAAAGTGGGTCATATAATTCGAAACTTGTCAAAATATCTTTATAGTGGATGATATAAAAGTTCTAAAGTGGATGTGAAAGGAACCCTTGCCATTGATAGATTCTTACCCTTACAATAGATTTAATCACAACCATTGACATGTGTACTTTTACTAACAAATTGTTTGTGGTAAAATTCTTATCTGATAATTAGAATTAGACAGATAAGGGATCGTTTCTTTAGATACTGTGTTTTTGAAACAGTAGATGTGTATTGTATCTGCACTTTTACTTAGCTCGTAACTAGTCTATATGTATATATGTATGTATACATACAAAAAGTTGAAAGGAAGTTAGATCTAATAAAAGAGTTATTGTATGTTAAATGTAGGGCAGTTTACAACAGCAATTGCTGTTAAACGGTTCCTTAATTACAGTAACTGCGTGTTATAGAATATATAACTAAGCCGTTACTTTACGTTGCATTACTTTAATACCATTTTGATAACTATTTTGCGTGACTAATAATTAGTTATATATGTACATACGTATTTGTACTAAACTAAATACTTACCTTAATCCAAGATATGAATGGATATATGGATAACGTATACTTACCACGAAGTGAATGACTTTACTTACATGTATATAGTTGACAATTGCCTAAAAAGTGATGTGAAATGATATGATAATGTTTGTATATATACTTACCAGAATATGCAATTGAAAACTCCTTAATATAAAAGATTATATATAACATTGATATATTTTATCAAAAATAAACGCATACATACATGTATATGACAAACACAATACACTTAACAAAGCTTTTCAAAATTGCGTTCATATGTCGCAATAACCGGTGCTTTCATGACGTACAGATATTTCCATATCGCGGAAATATGACATTTCGTCCGTATTAATAAAGCCGACGTGCGTTTGTGTTGCTCAAGATGATACTGATATACTCGAGTATTGTAATACATTATATGTATTGAATCCAACAAATAATGTACTAGTTCGTACATCAAGTTTACTACAATATTTTTGTAGTTTATTATATAGTTGATATTATATATATATTTATACTGAACAATATTGATTCAGTATATATTATTTGTATATATGTTTCCGAGTTGGAAATGTCGGGACGACATTTTTCAGCTGGGGGGAATGTGTCATAGGGTATATATATTTGTTTATTACATTGTACTGGCCTATACTTAACCTATACTTCCAATAAACTATCCTAGATTATATCATTTTTAAATATACACACATACAAACACAGAGCAAATTATATCAGTTTTAAATAGTACTATTATAGATTGTCATATGCAGTTGTTGGTATTAAAAACTCCTTTTTGTTGAATTCGATTTACTTTTGCACGGGTCAAGAACCAATCGTAACTCCTTCCGCTTTTCTCCGCCATTATTCAAAAAGTCAAAACAATAACAAAGCCATTTTTGTGCTACATAATATTTACCATTTCTGTATTTATTTATTTATATAATTACAGGTATAAATGTATTTTGTATTTATTAATATATACTCTAATGAATCATGTATGTTAGTAATTGTAATATTGTGTATTTAATTAAATAATGACTTTTGTATATGTACCATATATGTTTTGCATGTTTATGTAATTACAGGATCGTATCTTTTGTTGCGTTATCATTCAACCCCAAATTTCCATGATACTGCCTACCTGGTTGAGCTGACCCGCGACAGTTGCTACAGCAAACAAATTTCTGACCAGGACTTTTCATATCATGTTGTTGTTTTTTGGTTTTTTTTGTTGTTGTTTTTTTTTTGTTTTTGTTTTTTTTTGTTTTGTTTTTTTGTTTTTTCGTTTTGTTTTTTTTTCGAAAAAAAACAACAGTAAGGAACGAACAGTTTAAGTTGCCTTGTAAAATGAACACAAGGGAGAGTCAAAGAAAATCTTTCAAAAACGTATGGCCCAACCTTTTTGTAATTATGCTGATGTAAAACAACTGATGTATTTTTATATATGCAATGAAATATTATTAAACGAAACATGTTTGTAAATTCACAGAATATGTTCGTTAATTATTTGTTTGTCTTTGTATTTTTCCACAGAAATATTGGTCTTGGGGTTTGTTCCTTCATGGAAAAGGTTGGATCTATGATTGCTCCATTCTCCAGGAATGTGGTAAAGTTCTTTTGCACCGTGCAATTTTGTATACAATAATTGCCAATTCTCAGAAAAGTTATTGAACTTTCAGCATTATTCGCCACTTTCCGTGTTTTATAGCTATCATTGAAGCTTTCATATAATCATTACCATAACAAAACAATTTTTAATGATCTAACACTTTAAAAGGAAAAACGGAAAAATACGAAAATTGCTGAAAAACGTATCTAGTGATGAACGTTATGACACGTTTAAGACCGAATCGTCTTTAGTAATCAAATATAACGGAATGTAGTGTCAGTCTACTTTAAGTTGCTTTTTCATTATTCTGTTCTAAGTTTGAAATAAAGTATTACCTCCCAGTACATAATAATGCACTATTTCTCTTTCAGTCAAGTGAGATCAAATGGCTGCCGCCGTGCGTGTTTGCCGTCATGTCTTTAATCACAGTAATATTATTTGCATTTGTGCCGGAAACCAACGGTGTTGAACTTCCGCAAACGGTACAAGAACTGAGTGAGTGGTATCGCGTGAACAAATTTGAGCTACGAGTTGGCAAAAATAGACTGGCAACTAAAAAGGTTGAAAAAAATGTAAAAGAATAAAGCAAAACATTGCTAACTTTAAACAGAGCACAGAAGTTTTAAGAATTTTGATGAAGCTGCTCTTAAAATGACTTAACTTCATTGAAACGACTGGTGTCAAAACTGTATTAGCTATACTGTTAATATAATAGGTCGACTGATTGATTGATTGATTGATAAGATTGATTGATTGATTGATTGATTGATTGGTTGATTGTTTGATTGATTGATTCATTGATTGATTCATTGATTGATAACTGAATCTTTAACGGAATGGTGAAACACAATATCCAAAAGGAATTGTTTTTTTACTCTTTAATAGTTCTACATCTAACCTTTGAAAAATCAACAACAGTGAATATAATCTATATCATGCATGTAACATTATATGAGTTGGCAGGCAGTATGTGAAGCTTGACTGCATGGTTTATTTTGAATGACATCACTAAATAAACAAAAATGAGATAAAAAGGGAAACATTATTTGGTCATTGGGTGGTGACCGTAAAAAATCACCCAGACATTTATATATACTAGTATAATTAACAACTAAATTTATTTAAAAGTACTTGAATAGAACGAAACAGAAATAAACATACATGAGCATAAATTATTTTTAAAATATAAAATTCTCATGAATTATAAATTCTATCTTCCAAACTTTCTTAATCAATGGAGTCAGTGCATTTAAAGAAACTGCCAGTTCAAAAATTCATAATACGTTACAGATCATAGCAAGAGCATTATGTTATCAAGCAACTTATTATAATAACCTAACCACTGTAATAACTACCATTAGACATGTTGTTTTTATCCTAAAAAACATTTAGATAGATCATCCAAAGTGTCACTAAAATAGACTCAAACCTGTAAACAAAGGCCACCTGAAGGAGAGGATGAACATAACGTAATGTTATCCTATTTAATCATTAAAGGTTTGTCAACGAATGGTCTGTGTGTACATGTTGTATTCAGAGTTGTCTGTAAAACAGGTTTGACTGCAGTTACAAATTCGAACCATGCATAGTTTAACGATAACTAGTCATACATTAAAATAGACGTTGGTTATGATTTACAGGAATGAAATGAATGGAAAATTGTTCAGTGTTTTGTCTTAAATTGCATTTTTTGATGACGGCACAATTGAGTTTGGTATTCTTTAAGAAATTGTCCTTTAAGAAATTGTGCCCAAGTATGAAACATTCCATTTATAAATAACAAAATTTTGGTCAACTACTCTTGCAAAAATCAGTCGAAATTCAATAATTTTACCTTCAATTTATAAGACAATCCATTAAGAACATTTTTTTTAAAAAAAGGGCGATGTTAAAATTTTCGGAAATGTTTTAGAACTAAATGAACTTGCATTATCAAAATGTAAAAGATAAAGACATGATACATACCGATGATTTCCTCTTACAATGGAATTCCATTAACACTCTTATGTACATTGAAGACAAACGTATAATTCATGGTGCATGAAAAACTTGTCCCAACTTCTTACTCACAGTAAAAACAAAAAGTGAATAGTGATTTGGTCCGACCTTTTACACACAGTGAAAATGAGAAGTGAAGAGTGATGTGACATTAAGTAAAACGTGATGTTTGTGATGTGATCACAGTGGAAGCAACAGGTAACTATCAGTTGTATGAATGGAACCAGCGGACAGGTCTGATTATAAATATGAAAAGCAAGGTTATGGCTATTTGAATTTTTTTTTAGTTGAGCTCAACTCGCTAAATAAAATGAAAAGTGAGAGACAAACTTACTACTATTCCGGCTGGTAAATGTATTTTGATTGTCTTTCA